TCGCAATTAGCAATAATTCTTATGTTAATTATGAAATATGAACATTCAAATTATGTACGAAGTCTATAATTACATATCTTTTATGTACCCTGAAAAGTTTTTTCCTAAGCTGATAACCTGTTCTTGGCACGTTTTTCGTGAATATCTCGAAACTTAAAAAAACAGATTTATCCTTTTTTGTCTGATCGCTCCTCAATTTAACTATAAAAGACGCCACCGCATAAACGACCATTCAATCATAAGATAGTCTTAAGACCTTCCCAATTCAAGTATAAATTATATTGCTTAATTCTATAATTAAGTCGGTTTCTTAAGTAGCTTACTTAAATGTAACACATAACTATACAGAGTGATTCAAAAGTATCCTGACCCTAACGTGGTAATTGCTGGTATGAAAAGATCAAACGTTTTAATTAACGAGGCATCGCTACGAAAATATAGATGCTGCTTTGCTTTCAGATGTCAATAGCTATCAAGTGGCCATATTTTTATTGAAAAAAACGTTTTTTTTGGGCCACAATAAGCACGGATACCGACAACAATGAATATTTTTGAAGAAAAAATGGCGCGCCACTGATTTATGAAAAATCTAATTTTATCCTTTCTTTACTTGATCAATTCCAGAAAAAACGCGTTTTCGAGTTTTCTTCGTACATCAGTTTCGAGTAAAAACTTAAATCGTATAACACGCACGTCTAACAATTCTCACATCAAGCGTAATTTTTTATTGAAACTTTCGAGTTATAGATGATTGATTTTGATTGGGTAGTAACAGTTGGATTTTAGCTAAATTATTAATGACTAATATTTTAATTGGAGCCGTAAACGACAGAAAAAAGTAACTAAAATGTTCAAGACGGTTTTAAAGGACTTACGTTAAACTTTTTATCCTTTCTTTAAACTTTTAGTTATCTTTTAAATCAGTTGAGAAAAATTCAACGTTTCAAAATTTAGTTTTTCAGTCGAGTTTTAAAAGCAATTATAGAAATATTTGCATTGTCAAGCTCTTCATTGACTCATTACATGTTTTTATCACATTAATGGATAATTTATCACAGTACCCAAACGTTTTTTTTTATAACCGCACATCATTCTTAATTGATTGCAAGAGTTAGACAAGAATAAGGACTCTCAGATGCTGATTGCAATTTTTTTTCTGTTGGAAATGTGTAAAGTTGCTTGAACCGTAGAGATGTAGCCATTCATTCACAATTACTTGATACAGAGTTTTTTCGTTCGTCATCAAGAAAAATCTTCAAGAAATTTTGAATTTACTTGTAAAAAATAAACTGGCTATTGCTATGTAGAATATTTGGCCTATTGCGAGTATCCTTGAAGGTAAACTCGAAGGACTTCCGACATTCTTCTACATTTGAAGTTTTGAAGAGCGCAATATTAAAGCCAACCACAAATACGGTAATGTTGGCATGTTTGTCAACAAATACTTACAACAAAATGTAATTTTTCATAAGAAATTAATAGGAATACATTTTATTGGATTTTATTTATTCATTTGGAGAATTGTGGCAATATTTTTTTGTATTGTTTAACTATAACATTTTTTTAAATATTTTAATTTATTTAATTTTAAAATATCACACAAAGAAAATTAAAAATAAATACGTAACTCACAGCCGCGATGTACATTTAAGGAATTTATGCAAGCAATAGAATTTACGCTTTAATTCATAAACAACTATCCTACAGATTATCCTTCAATACGATCTTAGGAATTCTGCGGATTTATATAAATATAATTATAAAATGCATACAAATATTCCTACACTTACTTTAGGATACTTCACAAAATTGGCTCGAGGATACTGGGAGTATAAAGTTCCAGGCTCTCCATATATTGGCACAACCATTGCTTCGACGTTGTTGTCATTGAATCGAGCATAAGCTATTTTTCTACCATCTCCAGAAAACCAAAGAGCTTTSTTTGAACTGAATATTTCCTCTAAAAAKAAATAAAACAYAGTTTAAAAKAAATAAAGTTTGAARATTATTTTAACATTTTGATGGCATTAATCTATCGCAAATCTGTTCGCAATMTTACAAATATAAAGTTGCAATCAATTCAATATTAAACCATAGGGAAGAACATTTCAAGAAACTTTGCTCTTTTAATTAGAGTTTTCATAGYTCCAAGGCCAGTTTTTTTTTGATGATTTTGATTTTGTTTTCATATTTGATACATCAATTATTTTAACATTTCATCAAGAATTCCGTCAGGTTCGGKYGMTCKKATTATTATTTAATGAAGAGCAGCGCAGCTTTTTCTATAGGATTTTCATATTCTAATAATTATATTKCTCATTAAAGGGAATAAAAGAAAATATTGTTCTAMAAAAATATTTAACAAAAACCTGGTAAAAAAAGTTACTGGTACACTTAGTGCTTATGTTSAACTTTCTTGATATCACCAATTTGAAGCAAACACATTTGTGGTGATTAATTCTTTTACTTTTGCATTATATTTTAGAAGATCAACGAGAAATATTCACCTATTTGATATTTTTACGGTAGTTAAAGTATGCCCGCTTCTATAGTTGTATTAGTTATTTATTTCTTTCGCCATTACTCTTGTGTGTTTTCTATCTTGGTTTGTGTATAACATAATATCGCTTCTCTTTTAATAAAGGTTTTCATTTATTTAATTTCTTCTCTCACTTCTATTTAATTAATTATAGAAATCAGTAGAAAACTAGAAGAGTTTCTTAGTGCTTTTTTTTAAATATTCACTGTGTTTTCCATAAATAATTAAATATAGTAAAATCTGGTTTTAGAGTGAATTTTAATTCTTTAGAGCCTCTCACTCCAGATCATAATAATATTACAGCTTTTTAAGGTAGTTAATACATGTATTGCTTTCGCAAACATTCGACTTAATTTTGCAACCTTTTCTAATTGGTATTCACTGTTTAAAATTGCACGATTTACCCTTAGTTTACTTTCACCGAACGATCCAAGGCACCTATCTAATGGTACAATACACATAATACCTACCTTCATAAACCCAATCCGGTATTCCATTAAAAATAAATTCGGTTGAACTGGTATTTGTAAGAGCTGTAGTTACTGTAGATTCTGGTGATTCTTTATGGTAAATGTTGTTCCTGTAAACATAAGCAAAAGCACTACCTAGAAAAAAAAATTATCAGATCATCATCAATCCTTACACAATTGCGGCAAAGCATGTAATGCAAAACACAATACAATAGGTGGGTATTTTTATTGATAATTGCTTATTGTATACGGCCTAATCGAGGTTAAAGAGAATCGCTTAAACATATATTTGCGGGGATCTGAGACAAAGCATCAATAATATTAATCCTACAATGTGAGCTTAAAAATAAAGTTATAAAATGAATGCTCAACTATATTTTTTTTTAATTAAAAACTCAAGCAGACTTAAAAATAAACTTTTTCTTAAATAAAGTAAGCTTGGAGCACCACAGGCAGTAGATAAAAGTGAAAAAATTGCATTTAAACGTTAATTAGTGAGAATAAGAAATGTAAGCTTTATTCGAAAGTTAAATGTAATATTTAGTTCACAAAATATATGTACTAATTTGTTCTTTTTTTTGGCATTTTTCGAAAACGCCCTCGAAAGTTGAAGATTGAACAAATTGGCAATTTCCATATTTAAAAGCAGATTAAAAGTATTGCATTGTTAGATGCCGTAATAATTTCAATCAAATAATACAATCCGTTTTCTTCTATTGTCTTCTCGCAAAACGAGTTATGACTTTCTCCACCTCAACCGATTTGGCTTTGTAAACGTGGTGAAGTACCAGTTCAGTTAAGCGCTCTTATGCCATTGAAGCTCTAAAAAATTCGCCAAGAAGCTGATCCAAGAACTCATGGTAAAATAAAGCGACTAATTCCACCGCTCTTAATGAGGCATACAGATTGAATGTGGATCACTTTTGCACGACACATCCAGCTGTATCATAAAAATTGATTTTATGACTAAGTTTCATAAAAGTTGAACATAAGGCTAAATTGAGAGCTCGTGTGAAAAACAAGTTTCCTATTCCGTCGCAGCATTAAATGTGAATCTAACTATGGCTATATAACATATCCAGCTGAAAAGACTCAAAGTTTCATAAAAATCGAACAGGAGTCCAAGAGCATTTAATATAGTGTGAAAAAGCCTATTTCGCCCCATGATTGGAGATATTCATATTTGGATGGAAAACCTGTTTTGTTCACGGCGATCATCCAAATTAGTTCATCAAACAAAAACAAAACAATTATATCATCTCGTTAATTCTGTAGTTAGCTGCCTTCGGAAAGTGGTAAACACCTCAATATCGCTTGAGTTTTTTTGGAAAAGGTGACTAAATATTGGTACGGTATCAGTTGTTACGGAAAATGAACAAAATACGTCGTCAGTGTTTTGTTCATAGACGGCATATACCGAACGGTTTGATGCCAATAAGGAAAGTGCGCTAGATTGTCGGTTATCTGCTAACCGAAATAATAACTTTTTGAATTACAAGGGTAGAGAATGGAGGATGGGGCGCCAGCTTGAACAAGGCTGGTAAGAATGAATTATAATCTACAAATCCTTTAGTTTAAACTGACTAGTTTTTCGAGAAGCAACTGAATTTTATGGCAATTTTTATTTCGCTTTAATGCCTCTGTAGATTTCAAATTATTATTAAACTTTTGACTAAGTTTATGTAATACTAAATAATGTTTTTTTTCTTTCCAGGTGGCTCGATGCAGCTTTCGGTAAGTTTGGCATTATTACCCCCTGATTGCCATTTAGTTGTASAACTTTTAGTACCATATTATTGACGTATTTTATCATATTGCCSCATGCCTTATTTATTCRACAAGGAAGGTGGGACGTTCTRGATTCCAGATTGRATTTTGAAMTTTTTGGTTTTTTTTTTCTGTAAAATTTRTTTAAATTCAGTTGTTATACTGTAACGAATGAGGTTCTCTGYAGAAGAATCTTTGGATATGTGAAGACTATTAACTTTCTATCGTGAACTATACTTTTTATTCTCTTCGCAATTTTCAAAAATTGACTTGATTGACAGATTTTCTAAAGTGGCCGTCTATTATCTAAACCTTTTAATTTAAAACACTCTAAATGTAAAATTAAAGTCGTTCTKCTGTGAAATACACTTTATATTGTCRTCTTAAGTAATTATTTATATAAATTATAGTTAGTGTTTTCTTSGTAGTTATCATGTTTTGGCCGTTCTCGATTGAGATACTAAAGAGTTACGATAATAATAGTTAGTGGAGGTTTTTTTGCGAAAATGCTTTCTACTGCTAAGATAGCGTTCTAAGCGGCTGCAAGTGATCCTGGACTACTTATTTAGATATAAATACACTCTAAATAAATTATTGTTGAATTTTAGCGGCCAGGATCCGTCCGATATTTCTCAGATTTTTTGCCATCCAACGCCCTTCAGGCTGCAAGTGATCGAGATCAAGGTTTTAAGCGGACTAACAGCCACTAAATGARTTCTTGAGAAAAAACCGMGGTTTTAGAKAATTTTCGGCGGTCTGAATCCGGACAGAATTTCATTTTTATGTAATATTAATTTCTCAAACKCTGAGTTTGAACTCGTTTACTCYCTTGCGGTTCCCGCTATCCAATTRGAGGCTGGAATAATTTTTAGAGCTACTTTTTTGGGATTTTTGGAGGTYTTAGGACTTAGTRAAATTAGTGAAATATTAAAAAAAAAACCTTTAACGAAGTCAAACRGTTGCCAACATTCGGGGTTCGTTATCTCCCAAACGSTTGCCAATGCCGATTTTGTTYRAGACAGCTAAACTCGAGCGAATGCCAGTGGCAACCCAGAGCATTTTTTCTTTTTGAAATATTTTTWACAGTGGCGAACTTATGAGCAAATAAGTATGCAAACAATGTGSGTGGTAGTTTAAATATATCTAACTTCAAATTGCATTTTCTCCGAAACTATGCACRAAAACCATGCTACTAAAAAGCGGCATTTTAATCTAAATTCGACCCTCAAGTGAAAATGTTGTACATTTGCGAATTTTAAACAATTCGACGCGTTCCGAAATCTTTTTCGGTAAAATTTTGTATTTAGTTACTCCTAAAATACTTGGTGCCCAGTCAAACTTGTAGCAAAAGAGCGTGTTTCCAGGAACAATCAGAGCTTTAAGTCTTTCAAAATTTAAACTCTCTTTGCGCTGAAACTTTCACCAAAATGAACGTTGGCCCTGAAACTACTTTTGAATACCAATTTATGGGATTTTTAAGACTTTTGGATTAATGAAGTATGTGCAAGTTTGAGAGTTTTTCGCTTCCCAATATTCATAGCCTATTTTCTTCCAAACTGTTGCAAATACAAATGTTCTTATAGACAGTGAATGGGCCGAGAAATACACTTTGCAAACGATCTCAGTTCGTATTTTGAAAATATAGATATAATATAGTAGATAAGTTCTATATCTTTGAGGCGGATTCATTTTTTTATAAACTTCGTGTTGGGTATTTCGCCTCAAAAATGTTTGCCTTTAAAAAAGACAGTGTGGAAGTTTTGTATTAAAACAAAAAGCGAGGAAATTCTGTCTTTTTATAGACAAAAATGTTTGAGGCAAAATATCCAACAAGAAGTTTGTAAGAAAATTTCTACATACAAAAAGCTGTTTTTCCAAACAAATTGCGACCTTGAATCCACAAAGAAAATATTGATAGCATTTGCCTTGAAAAATCGTCTTTTCGACCTTCAAACGCTTATGACTTTTAAGTGTCTCAACCGATTTCAACTTTGCAAAATACTATTTTTAGACAAAATCACTTGCTATTGAACGAATTTTTAATGATCCAAATAGGGCCCGTATTAAGAGAGTTACACCAAAAATGTTCACAACCAAAAACATAAATTCGGCATTAAATATCAATATAAATTTCTGTTGCTTCTGAAAAAAGCAGTCGAAAAAGAACTGTGTCGACCTTTTCCCTATTTTTTCGTAGAACACTCATTGCATCATTAATTGCGTCTGTCGCCCTTTTTAAATCAATTGACCTGGTTTTCATTACATTAATTTAAATTAAAATTAAATATTGAATTTTTTAATTTTTTGATTAAAATTTAAACAAACATTCCATCGTACGTTTCCTCATTTTTCTAAAATTGTTTTTAAAAAAAGAGGGATTGCCAAAAGCGCTGGCCACCGAGATAAACGGATCTAGATTTCCTATATTTCTGTTTTTGGTGAATCGATGGTTTATGTTACGAAAGTGGACACGAGATTGGCATTCTTAATGCTGTTAAGTTAATTAGAGCATGATCAGTTTATAAATGCCTAAATAAGTCTTTAGAATTGTACTATATATTTTTCTGGTTTTGCATTATTTATATAACTTGATTTGCTTATTTTCACTTCTCACACATATTATTACAGTATTTTTATTTCCTCCTAATCACCCTGTATTTGTAAACCCATTGCTGTTTCAAACGTATCTGCATAATACCGTTTTTTCAATGTTCATTCGAAGAATTCGATATTACAATTTACTGTGATATTTATGAATCACCCTTGACAAAGGGAGGCCGAAGAGGATTTTAATTCATAGCATGTTTAAAAATGTCACCAGATCAATAAAAACGTTTAAAAAGTGTAACTAATCAACGATGTTTCTCCCAAACCAAATTATTCAGTGTTATTTTGTATTACATGCTGGACCACAAACGTGCCAGAGGAGGAATAATAATTAAAGTTGAAACTTCATACCTACTGGAGACCATTGAACCAAAAAGAAATCAATGCCTGAGTCTTCAGTCTCCAAAGCAATCCTCGTATTGGTAGATAAATTGACTATAATATATTTAGCTCTGTAGCTATGTCTGTAAAGCTGCAAATAAAATACAATAAAAATTAATATTAACCCGAAGAAAAACAGAAATAACTTGCATTATTACCTTTTGATAATCGTATGCTACGAGCAAATACTCTCCATTGGCTGACATACTAAAATCGAAAGCAGTCAAGATAATCTGAAAAAAAGTATTTCAATTATTCCTTGCAATGATTTGCTGATTGGTATTCAAACCAGTCCACCAACAGGCTACTTACACTGTCATTAAAAGTTAAAAGGGTACTGGTTCCGCTTGTTTCTAGGTTGTATAAAAGTAAATTACCATCGGAATCTGTGTAGAGGAATTTATTTCCTGAAACAAAAGGTTTTGTTAAATTTTTATTATCGGTTTTGACTATGGAGGTGTACTAAATCAGTACACATCATTATGAGGACATTTTAGAACATATTGAGTCAAAACTTTGTACACGTTTTAACTTCAAATCATAATAGGACCCACCTCTCCGCACAAACCACATCAAAACAATCAATGCTAAGATGTACAGAGTAAAGTTCAATCATAAGTAAGTTCATTCTTTCCAGTAATCACAAATTTATGTCTTGATTAGAAAACTGTTTTCTCAAACAATAATCGAATTGATCTACTTTGCTATTCTATTACAATTAACATTTTGGATTCACCCAGAACTAGAGTCGTAGTCGAAGAAAATAGCTCCTGAAGATGTAATTTCAACTACGTGCTTAAGCAATATTTTATTCCAATTGAATAGTAATGTGATGTGGCATACTATTAATCTAGTCTCCCACATTTGAGTTTTATGCCAAATAGAACAATGCAAAACGTGCTTAAACGTACAAATATTTCCTATTTGAAAAAATCACGTTTCTATAAATGTTTGATGAGTAAGCAGAGTGGCATTGAAGCATCCAAGTAGACATTTTTCCGCAAACATGACAATCTCCTTAAAGTTACATTTGTAATTAATTTTTACATAGTACTCTTCAAAACCAAAAATGTATAACACTGTCGATAGGGCTGACTAAGAATTAAATTAAAAATGTAGGTATTTGTGCATTTTTGTTATGTATTCCTATTCTGGAAATTTAAAAGATAATTTAGATGATTTGTTTTGAAATAAAATGTTCTTTATTTTATAAAAATTAAAAACGAAAATCTCAACTTTTTAGTACGTGTAGTACTTCCATTTTGGCAACGACTCAAAATATCTGATTTCATGTCTTTGTAACTTGAGAAATAATAAATAATTTTCGAGCTATAGAAGTAAAAATCATCAATCGTAAGCACTAAAATAAGTTTTATCTCGGAAACGGTCTAAAATAATTAAAGAGTGATAAGAGACTTCCATAAGTACTCTAAAGTTGAATATATTATAAAAAAATGATAATTTATTTCGCAAAGATATACATACGTTCCTGAATATGTAATGTCAACTTTTGAGCTTACCTATTAAACATTATGTTAAAGCAAAATCGTTTTTCGCAGTATTTTGTTTGTCATTGTACGTTCAACGAGGAAAACATTTCAAAAAACAATCGCCCAACAAATACAATTCTGCCTGTTAACGCAGCTACTTAAAATGCACCCAGCTGCCTGAGAAACCCCTTAAAAGAATCGACTCAAATTTTGAACAGCACCATATAGTAGATTAGTAGTACTAGAAGTATTTGTTACATTCATTTTAAATGCACTGCATTATGTACATTTGTACTTCGAAACTAGCTTCTGTTTTTGCGCTATGTTACAAATAATCCTGCACTTCCTGCTGAAAGCGATTGGTTTAATGATTAAGCCATTTTGGCAGCAGGAGCCATAACTCATAATCACACGGTCATTTATAAATAGACTTCGAAGAATACCTGTATTTGTTATAACGATTTGATCTAAGCGAATAAAATTACAGTCGGTATTCTGAATATTTTAAGTATGCATTTCTATCTGCTCAATAGCACGCGAGCTGTCTAGCGATATGTTAGCTTCTTTACAAATGTGTTCCAATCTATCACGCTACAATGTGAAAATAGCTGATGTATTATGGATAGATAGCATCAATACGGCGCCTTTGTACGAAAATTCTTATTATTGATTGATAGAAGTAAAGAAAAAATGAAATATTTTTATAAATTTGGTTTATTTGATTTGATGAAGTTCCATATTTGTATATTGCGACAAATTCTTAGGCGTGGTACTGTACATTAAATCCAAATTTGAAATTTGTTGAACTTTTTAAGTTAAGATTAATTTGTAAAATGTCAACATTTGCTCATACGCTTTATTGCCTGGAACGAGATTAATAAAAACAGTCTGCTTGCCATATAATAATAATTTTTTTTATTAATCAATGTGTTTATCTAAAAAACGACGAATGATCTCTAGTGAAAGAAAAGTTGCAAAACACTACTGAGTATATTTTCTTTATCCCATTACGCACTTCGAAAGCTTTATTAAATTTAGCTGAAGTTCCTTCTACATAGTGATAAACGAAAATAATTTTGGTTTAAATTATAAATCAAATCGATTCAAGATATTTTATAGATTTGTTTAAAAACGAAACGCAATTGGTTTAAGTTTCAATTTTTTTCAACAATCCTTCTACGTACGAACTTATTAGCATAACAATAACGTCGATTTGTAAAACTTTATTACTTACATTGAATGGCGTATTTGACTGGTAAAATTTCGGTTTAATAAACACGAGCGAAATATAATTATGGAATCCTGTTAAACTATTTTTTATTATTGTTTAAACTTGTTTAAAATTGTTAAAATTTTTATTACTTAAAATCAAGCCCTGATTAAGTGGCGATTGATTTCGCTGTCTCAGACGTCAGCTAACTGCATTCTTGAGTACTAATCTAGTATCGATTGTTTATAGGGATGCCGAATTTTTATGCGACTTTCTAGTTTACCGTGCGGCATGTTCATCATAAAAACAATAATAGTATACTGTGTGTAAGAGATTTGGATTTTGTGTTATGGTGATCAGCTCAAAATTACTATCTTTGTACTATGAAAGTCGTCTTTAAAATTACGAGATTTTTTCATTAAGCATACCAAGAAAAGTGTGGACTAAAAAGAGAAGGAATTATATTACCAGATAATATCATGGAAAATTGATATTGCACGAGTAGAAGAAATATGAATTCATGTGAATTTAGGAGGCAAAAAAATCCTTAATACTATTTTTCCTGTGTGAGTTTTATAACGCATTATTAAGCAATATTTTATAACAATTTATTTTATTGAAACAACAAACCACTGAATTCTTCTCAACTGATTAGTGTGGCTAGTTTTTAGTTTCGTCAGATAAATAATCTCTTGTTTTCTATTCACGATTTAGTTTCGTCGGTTACTTTGGTGGATTTACGAATAAATCGACTGCTATTTACGTAATCTAATGTGAAAGACGTGATTTGCAGGTGAGAATCAAATAAATTGTTTTCAAATTGGCGAATATTTCGATTTTCAGTGCATAATTTTTACTGCTTAACGTCAATTTCGTCAAATTTTAAACACAACACAAAATTCAAACAATGTGCTCCCTAGTCGCTAGATTAACTCATAAACCCAAAAAGTTCTGCATCATGCAAAGTGATTCCTCTAACTAAACTGTTATACACATTTTTTGTTCGGTTGAGTCCGTTTTCTAGTCTAGACTTTTCTATGCGGGAAAAATACTCTTATCTACATATGTAGAACCCAAAATGCACTTTTTTCATTAAGTATGGCTTATAAAATAGCTGTATGTAATAATTTAATTTAAAACTTGGACAGCAACATTAATTATTATTTTTTACTTAGTGGTATTAAGTACTAATCTAGTACCGGTCCTAAGCGAAGTATTTGCGCAAGTTGAATATACATATATTCTTATAAATACATTAAATATATTATACCATTTATATGTTAAATATTTGCTAAATAATTAAAATTTAAAAAAATGTTGGCAAAAAAATATGAAATGAATATGATATAAATCCAAGAAATTTAGATCATATTTTGTTCTAAAAAAATGTAGGCAGTTTTCTTCTATCGTAGTATCAAATTTTGACAAGCTCAAAATGTATCGTTTGGGTTAGTTTGAAGTTGGTCGATTTTTCAAATATTTGGAGAAATTTGCTGTCGATACTCCAATGAAAATTTTCCATTGTTTTGTGACCCATGTTTGTAACTTTTTTTCACACTTTTGTTTGTAGGTTTCGCTGTTAAAGTTTGAATATTAAATGAGATTACTTCAAAAAGAAGAAAGACTTGTTCTTCACGCTAGAAGATGAAGATCTAGATGTATATAGATGTTGTTGAAACAACCAACATTTTCAAATAACTTTTGTGAAAAAAAGATGGAATGGAAAGTTGCATCCATTTTTCCCATAGTAAATCTACTGTTACGTTTTGAAGAATTGAAGTTTTCCGTGTGTTTGCTTGCTACTTAAATGTAAATGAAACTGTAAATTGGAGGAAATTGCAAGAATTTAGGTCTGGCGTTCTTGGTGGCCAAGCAACTGGCACATTTGGATAAATCGACTTATTGAGAACTCCATTGTTCAAAAACTTCACCTTCTGTATTCTAAAATAAGAATTCCAAATCTTTTTGGAAAAATGTAGATTTCGTCCGTCAAACGGTTTGGTAAAATATGCGGCCCCACAAGTAATCCGTTCTTATCAAATTCTGCCACATATTTATAGAAAAGATTGGTTCTCCGAACTGCATGGGAATTACCAACACACCAAACTTGCCTATGTCTGAAATTGTTACATTTCGAGTAAAAGTTACTTCAACCGTAGTTGAAAATGGTTCATCTTGTTAGTGTTGTAAAAACCAGCCTGGGAAGTTTTCAGGTTGTAGTGTTGGGACACGTTGAACGAACAATACAATATAGAAATAATACAACTGATTTATTTCCAATGTTGTCGATACTATTTTTGACCAACTTCGAGTTTATTTGCAATCCTTCGAGTACTTGCTGAATTTCCAACATTTAACTTTTGCCTTGCATTTTAGAGCCTTTTCGATGTTTTCGCAGCATTTCTTTAGCACCCTGAGCAGCATTTGCTATAAAAGTTCAAGTTGTTGGATGTGCTTGCATGGGAAAACGTTTTGCGTAAATCCAAAATGCCGCAATTCGATAAAACTCTCCGTAAAAGAGCATATCGGTCCGCTTGTTCTACTTCTAAATGTTCAATTTTTTGAAGGTAAACTTATTCACTGAACTGCAAGATTCAAACGCTAGCAATTCAATAAAACTGTGACAATCACAACACACAAGAAATAAAAACGTGCAAAAGATAAGATATTCATGTGGCAGCCTGTATGTAAAAATGCCTCTGTAGAATATTGCTTGATTAGGAAAATATAGGGCGATAAAGTTCCTTCTAATTCGCAATTTCAAATGTATAACATACTTTCTACATTTTAAATTGAAAGATCGCGAAAAAGTACAAAAGTGAGTTTTTAAGGGTGGGAAATTCGAATCTAACCCTGTTGGTTATCGTTTATCCAAACTTTTTCATGGAAAACTATGTCGGAAATATAAGTAGCCCATTTACTAGACTGATTGAAAGGTAAAAAGTTCTACGTGTTTGTGGTCGGTAAAACAACCTGTTTTCGAAATATTTCGAAATTTACTTAAGGACAAATTAAGAAACTGCACAAATATCCGCGTGCGTTTTGTCCTCATAAAACAAATATTTTAAGTGCGAAGGTAAAAATTTAAGGGATTGATATCAGGGCTACGAGCTGGCCAAGAAAAGTCACTGCAAAACATCCACCTATCTGGAAATCGTTCATTCATTACATTAGCAACTATTCGAAAATAGGCTGATTTCTCAATGACAAACATGTTTTTTTTTGCGTTATTCAAAATATCTGCAAATCTTTCCATTAGAAGTTTTCGTAAAGAATAACCAAACAGCAAAGCGTACACAACGTTTCTTAGGAAATACCTTCAAACTAAGTTTACATTCGAATTTCCCATGTCTAAAAACTTATTATCCCAACTTTTTGGTGAAATTTCAATTAAAATTGTAGAATTTTTAAATTAATTTGAAATTGAAATTGACCTTTAACTCACTGCATTTCCGTAATAAAGCAATATTTTATTAAGAGCCTATTTGTCTAAATCGAATAATTTTGACATCTAGAATCGATTATTTCACTATGTCGTAGGCATTCATTACGGATCACCCTGTCTATATTGCAAAAGCAAAGCTCTTTTTAATTTTTTTTCTATGTTCTACTGAACTGAATCTAACATGGGCTTTCGTTACTTCCGCTTTGAAACGCCCTGTATAATACTGCATAACATAACTGAAATAAAATTAAAATATCTTACTAAATATATCCTTTAATCAGTAAACTGCAGGTATATAACTGCATAATGTGCTGCTGCTGCATAACATAACTCACTCAACGAAAATCCAATCATATTGAAATATTGTTTTTAGCATTACAATGCAGATTGCAGTATTCATAAAAAAAACAACCAGATAAGCTTAAAATACGATACACGTAAGAGTAATATTTTATGTTCGTTATTTTTGCGTTAAGCAGGTGGGATTCTTCCTCTAAATATTTATGTTCCAGTTTATTTCAGAAGTAAAATATGTCGAAAACAAACCCTTCTAATCGGCATATCTATCAAGTAAATTAATGTTAGCGAAACGCTAATAAGTGGAATAATTTAGAATTAATTACCAACAAATTGGACGTTGGTGCTTAGAATATGTATGAACATATCCTGGTCTAAATGGTTTATGTAAATTTTTAACAGCCGTATGGAAATTAGATTGCMATTTCTTTGGAAGTGGGTGAAATATCATTGAGTTATGATAGTAATTTAGGAATAAAAATAGAGGTAAAACTTAATAGGTTAAATTTAGCCATGGAWTCATACCTCATTTCTTCGTGATTATCTAACATCTAAATGGACTATTTAAGAACCAAAAAMTAATYTKAATACTKACCTACAATTTATTGTTTCCGATTATTATTCCGTAGTACATAACTCACTGTTCAACAAGCTTTTTAGCGACTTCARGTATTCAAACAGTTTTAATTTTTKATTATATTTATAAGTTTACAWWYGCAWYTSAACTAAGGACTAWGMWAYGTTTAAGTTWTSTWAGSMAAGCATTTTTAYTMCAAATMYAGACTATATTATAYACAAAKATAGACTCAGTTGAAAATGTGCCAGAAACTCSAAATGAACCTAATATAACTGTTACCTWTCASTATCTACTGAAATGACTAAAATGTTCAGCTGACTTAGTATATATAAATGAAGACTGAAGTATTTAGGGTTTCGAAAAAATAAACTTTATTAATATTCGGCAGTGTTATAAATTTTAAGCATTTGACTGGTAACGCTATGACTACAGAATAATCTCTAAGAAATGTATTAGTGTGTTTATTATTTGTGTTAATCAAATTATTARGGTGGAAAGTTTTTGTTYTCGARCACAACCTTKTCAWAGCGAACAACCAAAAATAAAGTTTTTAACCRTATTTTATGSTGCAAGTTCAAATGTATGAATATTTTTGTTATAGTCTTCCTTCTTYTTAAAACATTCGTTTTTTTTTAAACAAGCAACGACCMGTTGAATACTTCGCAAACTCGTTGGAAATGCAATTTTAAATTACATATCGTGTAGGTACTTAATAAATAACAATATTTTTTTTTTGATCGATTTTATAAAATTGTCGAAGCAGTTTCCGTTCGCGAGTTRATTGCGCTTRCTCAASAATTGAGAAAATTATGATTTTTCTACAAAATCRTACCTGTTCTAAAGGCGAATTCATAATTAAATTGAYATTTTAACGAACGATTGGTGACTCGCGTGGTTTTTAACCTTTTACTTCGGATTAATCAGTGTAAAGGCGATACGAAAAATTACTTCAAACATTTATTAAATGCGAATCATAAAAAAACATTTTTTTTAAGTTGACTTGTAGATTTGGCGGTTACAATTGTATTTTCAAATCGTTTACGATGGAAGAAATTCTATGAACAGTTATCTCATCAGAAATCTGGCAAGATAATCTCTATGAAGACTTCAACTAAAATACTTTTCTCAAGGTCCCGAAGACAATTTTTACTAATAAGTGCATCGGCACTATAAGAAATATAGGCCCTCATAAAAAAGATATATTGCTACAGAACCTGTGAAGCTAAAAAAGGATTATATTTTTTTGCCTCAAAGGAACCTGGCGATACAAAATTTTGCAACCACTCCAATTATTCCTGCTGAGAGAATCTGAAATCGAAATCAAAATCAAACAGATTGCGGCAATGGTTTTCCAAAACCTAATCCTAAAATCCTTCCTCACAAACTAGAAAGGAGTGAAAGTTCTAATGAACTAACTCGAGGAAAAATCATTCACCGTCAAGTTATCTTGAAGGCTACTGTTTAGGCAGCCTCTTCAGATCTTCAACTTTACTGTCATATATTTTTACTTCAAAATACAATAACATCTAAAAGAAAACCCAATCAAGATAGATGTTTGCACTCACCTGACACCCAAGTTCCATTAAAACTTTTCGGATTATATTTGTAATTTAAAAAGTCTTCTAAGTTCAGTGTAATCGCCTCCTCTTCTACTTTCTTCGCTTTGACTAGAATAACAATTGCAGTAATCACCAGAGCAATTGCTACAGCACCAGTTATTGAGCCTATAATCCACATTCGCTTTTTCCGCTTAGTGTTAGACAATATCAAGTCCTGAAACCAGAAGAAAACACTTAATTAATAATTGTTAATAATAATATTTATTCTCGAGTAGAACCCAAGTAGGTGTTTTTAAGGGTGGTTTTTTAATCTCCCTGCATTACTTTGGTTAAAGTAATGAAATAGAAACAATTATCAGATTCATTTTGAACTTAAAATTAAAGAAACATTTGTAAAAGGAAACTCACATGTCATAAGAAAGTCTGGACGTATGTTCAGAAAACAGGTGAATATTTTTGAAACAATTCTTATAGTAATTGAGCAAGATAAAATACTTTTTGTTTCTCATACTACTCAGCTTATTAGAGAATTTAAAATTACAGAGATTGAAATAATATTAGTTTCAATAAGTAGATACACAAAAACACAGAAATGTTGTGAAACAAGTTAATTTGATCAATCCAAAATTGATGGTTTTTGACTTTCGTTCCAAAATATCGGTAATTAAAGTTAAAATAAAAAAATTAAATTCGATAAAAATTCGGAATCTGAACGAAATTTCGTAGAGCGCGGCCTCTTTAGAGCAAGAAATTAGAATTAATTTTTATTGCACAGTTTCTGCGACATTTGATGATAGCGAAATACGTTTTCAATTGTACAGTGTATGTATAGAAGTTTTGCACATACATATGTGCTCTCAATACTCAATGGAACTCAATGTCTAAAAAGTTGAGATTAGGAGTTGCTCTAATAGATCTGGAGACATATAAACTTCATAAAACATTTTAGAAAATATTTAAAAACACTGTGTATTTTATTTAAACTTTTTAAGAACTTTTCAAGTCAGTAATATTGCAATCAAAAATACAAAAAAATTACGAGCGTAAAAAGTTTGATTTCAATGAATGAACTTTCATTTGAAGCACAACATCGGTTTTCAGATCGCATTCAAATTTCGGCACAAAGCAAGTAGCCTCAGTGCAACTTATTATATGATATGTTCCTTGCCTTGATACACATTAAGTTAGCGTGTTGGCAATATATTCTTACGTATTTTTTAATGTTTTATACCAATCTACTTTTTATTTTCAACAAAAAATAATCTCATAAAATATTGGTTTTCAAACACCCTGTATACATATCAATTAAACATGCGATTAATATTAAATGAAGTACAGATAAGTTTACCAGTTAAATAATTACTGCTTGAAAAATATCTCAAATAATTTAATTATGAAGTTCAAGATCAAATGCCTCAATCTACTGCACTTCTACTAATTGCTATATGATTATTGGTGGAGACTATAAGTTTTAATTTAATAATAACAATAATTGCTCTACCATGAAATCCATTATGGAAATCTACGTTGCACATTAGGTCATACACGTAATACTTAAGCAAATTTGTCAGACGTTACTCTACAATTAGATATTGATGTGCGTGTTTAGTCCAACTTTGCATGTTTTACTTGCAACGCCGTTGGAAGTTTCAACACCTTCACGGCTCCATTCAGATAAATATTTTTCAACAATTATACTATGCAAATTCTTAGTCCACTTTGAATATTTCTAGTATCGAGTGCTGCCAACAATTGAGTAGATCAAGCTTTACAGAAAACACACACATTAAATATGTTCTCTCTTATCATGTGTGGTTCATTTTATAATTCGCATAGTGCAACAACGACGAGCAAAACATATTTGTTTTGAATTTTGAAAAAAACACTCGTACAAGTCAATAAACATTTATAAGATTTCCTTGCGATAGAGCTGTTCAAAATTCGTTCGGCTAGATGTTACACATATTATCTATAGCAGTATCATATAATGAAGTCCTGATGATAACCTGAAAGGAAAAAGTCAATGGGCGTAAAATCGGGAGATTTGGGAGCCCGATCTATAAAACCCTACCCGTTCTATCCGCTTTTCTGGAAATATTTCGCTTATAAATCGTCATAGAGTCCCTATAATAGAAGTGTAAATCTTCAAAACGCACTGGATTTCTTAAAAGATGATCTAACTATTGAGTTAGGGAGCCATGAAATATAGACCGACTGAGTGGTCTCCTATTATGCCTGCCCATATATTATTATGTGCAGGGTTATTGATTGAAATTTGCCACCCCATTTTTCCATCCACTTGAGTATTTCGGAAAAAATATCTCTATTTTATTCTAAGATAATACTAGTTGACATTGTTGAATGTGTCGTGGTTCAGGCTCGGCTTGTGAGGTCTGGACGCAGAATTACATCTACAACTTTTACTCTCAATATTTTTCGCTAATTTTAAAATTAGTTATTGAAAAGTGGTGGTCAGTTCATTCGCTTTTTCCACTTGAATTTCAGCCACTTTTCTTCAAATAATGTAATCTTAAATTAAGCTAGACGTTAATATCTATAACTTTTGTTTTTACATTTTTTTCTATTGATTCCAAATGAGAAAAAAACGGGGTTGCAAATGTTCAATCAAAAACGTGTACATTCCATGTATTTAGTTCCACATGTGAAAAGCCATTTATTTCATGATTCTATTACACATATTTAGTCGAGCTACAGAATCTTCATGACTTAAACCCGGAACGTTTTAGCGCCGATGCGGATACAGGAGTTTTTACTTCAAAATTTCTATTTTGACTTCTATGAATAATAGTAAATATACGAGTTTTTAGCATCCTTCTTGGCGGAAATACTTCACCATGTAAATGTCTTGATGCAGATGCAATTCCATCAGCCACACCACAAAAATAATGAACATCACAAAGTTCAAATTTGAATTAATTAAAAATTTTATAGAAATTATTTAATTTTTTTATTGAATTCGATGCGGCTCTGTTTATTTTTCAGATTTTGCACGGCTATTTAGATTTGAAACATTAATTTTTCATGTTCACCCCATTAATTTTTTGGCGCATCATTTCCGGTCAGTGTGTACATTAGTTAACAATATTGTGATTACCAGTATATGAACTACATTGGATAGAGCATATGCCAGTTGCTTTTTGTTTATTTTTTCAATGTTTTATAAGATTATTAAAATGAAATAATATACGATGGCCCAAAGATCATTTAAATCACTTGCCTAATTTAAAATTTTTAAAATTTTTTATATTTTTAACATAAGCACCTTTTCAGGTAGAATTAGAAGATAAAATCGAATTATCGAAAAAATACTAATTGCTGAGTTGAGCTTCAGAAAACAGCTCAAAAAAAGCGCACTTTTGTTTTTGCACCAGTCGTCATTGTAACACAAACCTTTTAAAGGTTTTCAAGTCTAGACGACAAGCGCTCACTTTGAATAAGAAGGCTTTCGAGGACGCGACTATAAAATGAAGTGCAAATGTTTAATGAGAGCGGCAAATTTTCGAATGGTAATTTTCATTCATCATTTATCCCATAGTATGTTTTATTCAAATCGAGAAGAGTGCAGAGGCGGCAGGCAGTCTCTATTACTAGAGTATACAAATAGGAGACAGTATTTTAGAGATTTATTGCCGGTAGGTTGCGACGCATCTAAATAAATTGGGGCCCATCTTTCAAATATGCAAATGTGGTTAAAATGAGATTTTTTCAAAACAAACCAAAAAACTTAATTCAGCAGAGTGGCGCGAAGGAATTTGCCTTAAGTGAGTTTTTCATAAATATTGGTGCAAGATTTCTGTCGATGGGTTTGGGTTAATTGGTCAATAGATAGCGGCAGAAAAAAAACACTATTTTTTGGGCCAACATTTCGGCTTTATTTAAGCCATCGTCCACGCTCCATAAGAGGAACAGGTTAGCTTCAGTGTTAAATATAGTAAAAGTTACTTGTCATTGATATAAAATATAAGAAAAACCGATACAAAGCAAAATCAAGTGTAAGAGACAAAAGACAAAAACAATATTGTTTAACGGTAGTTTATACAAACCAAAGCCTATATAATAATCTTTGATATTCGCATTTGCAAAATTTGTTCGGACAAATTTAGTTTCTAAAATAGAAATTAGTAATTTTAAAAACTTAAATACACTACGCAGCAGATTTAAGGCATAGTTTAAATATTGCCTCGACGTTTGACTGTGAATATTTAATATTAATATATATTAATATGAAGTCGGTGATCCGATGTGAACAATTTTTGATCGAATCACAGTACAGTAAAAATTTAAGTTATAAGAAATTCAAAAAATAATTGTTTTTAATCTTTCTGCGGGCAATATGAGGTAGCCCAGAGAAATTAAGAGTTTACGATGTTTTAGCCTCATCTTTTCTGAGTGTATTGGATCCTTAATCGTCTGTTTATCTGATATAATAGGTTTATGTTAAGCCATTCGAGAGTTATAATTTTTTTATGACAAGGTACATTTTCCTCTCGAAATTTACTTAAACTTTCTATTAATGRTCGAAGAATATTAAATGCAATGTGATCTGTCAATTAAGTTAAAGTTTGTGTTTTACTAAGAATAGGGTTTTGTTTTCACACCTTAGGATATATTTTGTGATTGTTTCTTTAAGGAATTACATAAGTAACAAAATAAACAAAGGTTGACAGCTATAAACATGTAATAAAATTTGTTTTCGCAATTGTCTTCAGAATTAAAAAAGAAAGTTTCAATACATTTTAGGCGAAAAATGTGACCGGTCAAAAAAAGAATTTCTCTCCATTGGCTCATAATAATAATAGATCAGGAATAAACAGACAATTGGGGCTGTTTTTCCCTGAGATACCCAGTATTGCCCACATACATAAAACTAGTTTTTTTTATTTTATTAAACACTGACAATTTTGTTGCTAATAAAATGATTTATTTTACGAAAATGTTTCAACAAACAGACAGATAAGGATCAAGCAACATTTACATTTAGTAAGTTTTCGGTTTTTAGTCGAAAACTTTCTTCACTTGGGACCGTTTAGATGTTAGAAATTGGAACAAAATAAATTGATGGAGAGTTTGAGTGTCATTTATCATACAACACTTTATAGGTGCAATTGTTGTATTTTTATTCATATTTAATAAGATTCGGATTTAAATTAAATTATCATACAACAAATAATCGTTCTTATTTTAAAGGCGAAA